GTAGAGAAGCTTCATTTGCCACCCACAAAGTTTGTGCTGTATACTATCAAACTTGATGGGTGGTCGGGGCACTTCACATTTTTCTGTACAATTTGAAATGTGTGGGTCGTAGAAAAACTGAGTGATCTTAATCAATGCTCACTGTTTCTCTGTGCCATACGATCAAGAACTTCACTGCTTTTCATATTCTTGAATCTCCAGACAAGAGAAGACGATCTTGGTTTCCGTATGTTGAAGTCTTATAATAGATACACATATATTTGTATCATAACTATGATTTCGAAAAAGATTATTCTCAAAAGTTTTGTGGGAAATCAAATCTTGATGATAGATGTATGCGAAAGAAAAGCGCTAGCTGAAACTTATATATGGAAATGTTCTGTCGGCTTAAGGATGTGAAGGAGAGAGAGTGGTAAACTTTTTCTTTAAATCTTAAGATTAAACTGTTCTAAATTCCAAGTGGTTTTATAATGCAGCTGCCTTTACAATTGTGCTCTGCACCATTTGCAACCTTTGTAAGGCTCTGCGTCATTTGCAACTTTTGGAAGGCTTTTTATTGACTAATGAAAGATTTATTTTGTGTGTGATAAAATCTCTTTTCCATACAGTATTTTTTTTAATTTTTTTAATCAATACTTATTGATAATATTAGAAAACCTGTTCTTCTTAAGCAGTGTTTCCATTAAAACAATTTGCAAATTTTCAAAAGTCTAAAAATATAAGTACTAAACTGTACTTTTCCATCAACGCTTTCATTTTTTTTGGTAAAGTTACAAATTAAAAGTACAAAAGGAATCAAATTTGCTGTCAAAACAATAACCGCTATATTAACTAGTTTTTTTAAAATAAATCTGGAGAATAAATGAGATTTGCAGTAAATATTTATTGAAAACCTGCAATTAAAAACTTAACATGACAATATCAAATACAAATAATCATTTTGCTTATTATGCATCTTTTCTTAACATCTTAAACAGCAGACACAACTTCCATCGTTTCCTGGGAAGCCAACAACATCATCCTGAAAGTTCTGGAAAACGCGAATCACTTTGTTTAACTTAATGAAAATCATTACAGTTACCGAAGAACGATTTCAAGTTTCCATTACCTTTTTGAATTTAGATATCTTAAATTCATTAATATTTCATTGAAAAAGTTCTTAAAAATTTAGTTGCAAACTGCAAAATATTCTCGATGCTCATACAAATGTTTTATTTTTGTGTTTAAGTCCGGTAATTTAAAATAGCAGTAAATGTGACGACAAACTTAAAGATCAAACAGTCAAATAGTTCTCAATAAAAAAATGTATCAGAATGAGCTAGCAAAAGTGGGTTCAAGGATGATATGAAATGTAAAATAACAAACTTTATGCTTTCCTCGAAAAATTGCATACGCTTCGCAACATCCTGAACATCGTGCTTGAATGTTAGCGCCAGCTGAACATTGAACTATAGTATTCTTTCCATCAATACTCGCTAGAAATTGAGCTCTTCGTGTACATTCTGCAAAATTCACTTGGACCAAGTACTGATTTACAGATCAGTTTATTTGTCATCCAAGTCTAGAACATCCTCTCAAATAAGTTAACTTCAACTTTTCATTAACGATTCGTACGTCCTGTTTATCCACACAACCATTTTGGATCTATGGCTTCTATCAAAAAGTATCGTTGTAAGTGCATTTTATGCGTATGAAATGCAATGCAATATCACTATTCAATTGATAAAATATAATATTGCACGAAGCACATCGTTGTAAATTTCTCCTCCCAACGTCGTAAGACTTGTATTTTTATCTTTTAACAGACTTGTCTTGATTTCACTTTGTGGAATTCATAATTAAAATCAAAAGTTTATAAATAAGACCAAAATTAAAGATTATTACCGATGCAAGCTGGAGTAAGATAACTTGGATGACTATAATAATTCATGGGAAATTGAGCGTATGTCGTATATATGATAAAACAAGTAATGATATTGGCAATCATAGCGTACGTCATCATCGAACAAATGCTTTTTGATACGTGTAAAGGTTAACTGCACAATAGTATTTTATATCAAGCGTATTTTGTCTTCTTTAGTTCTAAAATATTAAACATTTTCATCCGCAATATTTTTGATTTTTGTTGATGATGCACCATTTCATGCTTTTCTTACTTGAAAAAGTTATTTTTCTGCGATTAACAAGCAACTGCAATGATTAATCTTTTGCAATACAGTTTGAGAAGAATGATTATAATAAATTATAACCACTTATTGCTGCAGAAAAAAGTTTTGAACACCAGATGCTTTGAACTGCCTTTTTTGAGACAAACTGTTTATCAATAGGATAGCCTAGATTTACTTATATTCATCTTAAAAGTTTCACTAAATAATATTTTAATTAGACACAATATGTTTACTTAAGTGCTTGGTATCCTAACAATCAAGACTTAAAAAGTACTTTCGAAATAGTTAGCGCATTACCTGACTACATAACCTTTTCCACGGGTAGTCATAACTTGATTATTTGACTTTAATGATAAAACTTAGTGCATGAGAAAGTTGTTTGAGTTCGAGGCATATTATAAATCAATTTGGTGTCCAATCATCTGTTAATTTAACTGCTTCCAAATTATAATATCTGTTAGACGTGTGATTAACTCTAATTATTCAAATCACGAAAACGAAAGAACTATTTGCTGAACAAACAAGCTATTTTTTTCAACAAATTTCCCCATTTTCACTTAGGCTGGAAATTTCGTACGAATGAAATGAAACATTAAACAGGCACTCCTAAAAGTTATTCGGAATATTTGAGACAAGCCACTGTTAATTGCAATACAGTACGCCTTTGTGTACGAATTTCACGTCGGAAACTTCTCAACTGTGCATAATATAACAAAGTATTCCAGGTTGAAGACTACAAAATCAAATAAAAAGTTCGCTTGAATAATTTTCAGTGGGCGCTTTATGGCTGTTGAGAAATCAGTGCTAACTAGGAAATAGAAATGCAGGAAGCATAGTGGTTATAATATTTCAAATCTTCAAACAACTTATATAGTATGCACTTTAACTGTCAAAGTGATATGTGATGAGACATGCTGACGGATATTTTTGGCTGATCATTTTCAAAATGAGAGTAATCTCTTTATCTAATTCTTATTTGACTTATATATTACCAATTATTCAAGAAATCGAACTGTACCAACATTTCAGTGACATGAAATGATAAGTTTCATCAAATTTCGAATTACGAAAAACCATCATCGTGTACATATAAGACTGATTTTTTCAAATTCCTGCTCATCTTTTCCGACTAATGAATATATTTAAAATATACAGAGGACAAAAGCGTTTATGATAACTGTAAATGATTTAAAAAATAAGGGAAGGTATTTTATAAAACGTTTGTTTCTCCTGATCCAAAAAAATTTTTAACAGATAAAAAAATATGAAATTTTGCAAGCAGTCAAAACACGAAATATTCCATAAATTGTGAATGAGTAACACCTGTAATAAAATACTAATTTTTAAGAAAATTTGAAGTAAAGTACCATTCCATGTCGAGCTAAACTAAAAAAACACTTGCCAATTATTTTTGCTGGAAAACTTTTAGAAGTCTGAAGCCTTGCAAAGAATTCTACAATATTTACAAATCTCTGACATTTTTTGTGATGCGAGATGAGATTTAAGATTTCATATGAAACAAAATGTATTAATATGGACACCCATAGAATTGGCCAATAATCTATCTGTTTAATTTATCTCATATGGCCTTTTAATAAATGAGTATTTGATCAACCAATAGCGTGCATTTATTCCCTAATTCTCCCATTTAAACCAATCTGCTGTTTTTACACGTTCCCTACAGTGTGGGCAAATACTTTTCATATCTCCGAACATATTTCTATGTTGGAGATAACTCTATCGTGCTTCATCTAGTACGGTAATATTTCGGAATCGTACCCAATTAATGAATCTGCCATTAAAGCTAGCTCATCACTCCACATCTTTCACCACTTTGCATGACAAATTCATTCCTATTTCGTACGCTATACAAAAGCACTTCCTGGACTGCTGATGTACATTCAACAATTGAATTGTCTACGAGGCTGTAACAAGTTCTAAAACAGGATAGAATAACTGTCAAGTACTAGTTATGAGCCTTTTCCTTCAAAATCGCCATCATCCTGGTCTAATAGGATCATCAGACAGCGAGAAAATGCTGCTGTATCATGAGTATACAAGACACAATGAGTCCGGTGATACATCTAACTGGGATTCTGTAAATAGTATAGCATGATCTGAAAGCATTCACATCCATGCAAAGTCATTCCATTCAGGACATTGTCGCCAAGAAGAGCGTGGAGATAGGAGTCGGATATGCATGTTATAACAGCAACTAAAATAAGTGCGAATCGATCATACATAATGGTACATGACAATGCGAAGCACTCTTGATAGAGATTGGCATCACTAGACAAGATAGGTCAAGAATAGTGGAAGCCGCCAAAAAGCGAAAGCATGATTTCCTCGCTAATAAATTTGGGTCAAAGATGAAATGCAAGAAGAAAATAGTTCCGTGTGTTATAGTGATGAACTTCGTTACGCGAAGGGAATCAGTGTATCTGATCACGTCGAAACACGACCGATAGTGCTCAAGAAGACGTACAAAAGCATCTCATTCGAACAACAAAGTGGATTCAACGAAGAAGGAGCAGCAGAGACTAGCACAGTAAAATTGAGCACGAGGGGAGTGCAGCGAAAGTGCCTGAACACGGTCTAGCGCCAGAATCAATAATGTGGAAAAGAATATTAACCTCTTTGTGATATCGACTTATATAAATATTTATTATAGATAATGATTAGATAATCTATTACTTTACTGATTAAAAATTTTATGATTCCTCGCAGAATTGAAATTGAAAATTATATTCATGTACAGCCAACAAATATATACTATGAATCACTGCATCGAGAAACTTAACGCGTTAACATTACTTGCAGAAAAAATTACCGTTATAACTCACCGTTATCCACTAATTCTATATCGAAATAATTTTTGATAGCCAGTAATTCATTCAATAACCGTCGTACATCACATAATAACATTCCAGATACAGCTCTAAATTAAACAAACTCATTTCCGAAAACCAGTAACAACTATCGAACTATTAAATACTCTAAGTAGGGCAAATGACGATGGTAATAAGTGGGACTAACATTGTGCTAGTAAAGATTAAAAGAAAATAAGACTAGTAGTCAAAATGAATAAACATAACTATATAACACACAGTAAATTTTAAAATTATAAACCTTCCGTTGATAGACAGGATGATATCACCAACTGCTAAAACACCAAGTAAATCAGGATTGTTCACTGACTTAACTGAAATTAGTCGACTCTCTGCAGATCCACCGTGAACTGTGAATGGTATTGAATTTGAATTACACGATATCTGTAATCAAAAACTCAGAGGAAGCAAATTCATAATTAATCATTGCAGTGTGACAAAATACAATGTGGACATTGTTAAGAGAGGAGAGATTCAATAGTTGCTTCACAGTATGTAAATTATACAGAGCATAAAACATTATAAAAGCTGCAGAAAGTAACAACATCTCGAACTTCATCATTCTTTATACGTTTTCAAGAAAACTAAAACAGATACATTCCATGCACAAATCGGTGCTAAATGTGATAATATGGAATTATGAACAGGGCTTTTTCGAATTAAATTTGGCTACTACGCAATGGCAATTCTGCGATCAATTCTTACCTAAGATAAGCTAGTTATGCATCATAGTCTTCAAACAAAAGTTAGATGTAAATAAATAGTACGAGCCAAATCGTAATATATACAATGCAAGTAATTTCAAAATGTGATCAGATATTACAGTGTGTTAAATAAGTCGAAAACGTCTATGATCTAAAAAAGGAGTTAAAAAATCGAAATTAAGCGGTGCAACAAACAGTCACACAGTCCTTATCTATGCTTGTAGTTTCTAAGCAAAAACTAAGGAAATTTTTAAAAATTAAAGCAAACCGACCCGGACAGTTCGCTTTAATTTTTTTGAAGGATTGCTTTTCTTGTTCAGATGATCAGAAGTAGGTGCTCGCGCTATATTCTGCTGTATTTTCATTGATTTCAAAGATTTCTGCAACGCATTCAGTTCTGTCTGATCGTTTTTTTGATTTAGTTGTTCACTAAGCTGCTGTATTCCTGACGACATCGTGTAACCTATAAATTACGAACTGCAATCAGCAATTAATCCTGCTAAAAGCATTAACAAAGAGCGAACATGTCCACATTCAACCTACAATAATGACTTAATGTATTAGATAACGGCGATTTATAGCTCGAAAAAGACGAGTACTTTATAAGCGAAAACATGCCTTTGCAGCAAACGGAACTGGCATCATTTGATAAAGTTTACCAAAAAATAACCGCCTGCGAGAAAAAATAAAAATTCCGTTAACAATAATTTGTGACCAAGAACAAAATTTCAACATCAACTTGAATGATGACAATTTTCAGAAATAATAAAATATTCGAAACCTGGAAAGGAGGGAAAGAATGATGTGGAATCAAATTCTGTATTGTTCTGACCGAAGTGACAATAGGAAACGACTTAAAAAAAACTCGCTACCAGAACTATCTATTTGTATTATCAATAATTCAAATCATTTCAACAAAAATTTAAAGCTCACTCAACTGCACCACTGTTTCGCTCGGTGCAACAGATTACTCTAACTGAAAGATCTCTTCAAACCAAATGAACACAAAGGAAACCAGCCAGAACGAATTGCTAATTAACCGGCCTTTTTCAAATGAAAGTAAATCGGAGGATGAGTAAACGAAATAAAATCCGCTTCTGTGATATCACATTTTGCTAGAGTGCCTTACTGACCTTACGAATTTCACCTCTTCACGCAGTTACGCATTCTCTGTCTTTCCTTTGCATCTCTTTTCTCTTTTGTTTGCACCCCCTTCCTCGTTTATGTACAGCTCTTTCTTACTGCTTTTTTCCTTTTTTGTATCCTGCATAATACTTTTACTGTGCTTGCAGCTACTCCATTTGTCCTGAGGAATGAAGTATCGTAAAAGCGTTCCTTATTTCTCACTTCAGTCATAGAAGACAGACACTGTACGTTATAATTCGTCTCTACCAATCTTAATTCTAAAACGGGAAACCAATCAAACCTATAACTTACACGACTTTCGAATATATCCTGTTAAGTTTCACATACCACGCTGACTGTGCTCGCTCAAATAAAGAAGTCAATCAGCAAATTGATAAACAAATTTCTAATGCATTTTTCTAATTTGAATTTAAAAAAGTCCCTTCGTCCACAATAAGAAATGAATAATTATCGATGTCGATCGCTTAGCTTTCACACTATCCGTAGCCTAAACACAAGTGAGTGTTTATCCGAGTGGGAGGAATCTATCCATCAGACCATCGTCTTCGCAAATAGCTGGATGAAAAAGCATAATTTATACGTGCACACTTCGAAAAAATGAATGAAACTTAGTTGTCTTATTACATCAATTTAGTTAAGTAATATATTTAATTACCTCCCATTTACTGTCCTGTTCAGTTTTCATTTCATTTATTTCAGTAACGGCAATCATTCTATTGCAGTCTTCTCTGGACTTCTTTAAAATGGTAAATGATTAATGTATTAGCTTTTCAAAGACTAAACCAGAATATGGAGGAAATCGATATTAGGTAGGCAAAGTATTAGGCATATTGCCTGTTCCATAATAACGCTACAAAAGATCAAAGACGTGGAAATATTGACTACAAAAATGACAAACGTCTCCAGACATTTATTTTTCTTATCTGGATATTTGTCAAGTAGTTCAGTCTTATTTCACTGATACTCTATTCACTACAATCCAAAGGAAAAAGGTTGCAGCTGCTGTAGACATTAATCACAGCACAACGAACAAAGAAAATTTGCTACTATAGCTTGAAGAACAGGCACACAAAAAGTCAATACGATAATAACAGACGACAGAGATAATGGTAAGGGTCAAAAATTTGGCCAGAATATGAGGAAATGTGACTCTACAGATGCTACACTTTCATCATTACAAAGGAGCATATATGGGGCAGAGAATGCTACGAAATTCGAATGTTGAAACAGCCCAAAAGCACCATTTGTAGAGAAAGTAAGTAGTCGAGCAGCTTGAACACAAAATTGTGCACTAATACTTTCAGTCAGAAAATGAAGCAACTGGATCAAGTTAGAAGTTACTGGTGATCAGTTTATAGAAATTAACGGCCGGTCAACATATGGTATGAGTCATACTGACGCT